CAAGCTTCCAAAAACTCCCTCGCGTGTTTTGTGCTTCCATGGGCTAGGACCTTTACGTTCTCCAGGTCGAAACGGTGGCCTTCTTGATCTTCATGCGCAGAAACCAATGAGTATGGATCATGCCTTCTGACGGCCGCCTTATGTTCGGTGATTCGTGTACAAAGTTTTCTTCCAGTTTGTCCGACGTAATTTTTATCGCAGTCGCTGCAGTTGATCTGGTAGATGACATTGCATTGGTCGGCTTGATTGACTTTTCCTTTGGGTCGTGAGATCAATTTTCTTAGGGTGGCACTTGGCTTGTGCGCCACAGAGATTCCATGTGGCTGCAGCAATCCTCCTGTTAGTTCGGAGACGTTCTTGATGTAGGGAAGCACTATCCGTTTGTTTGCTTGATCAGATGCCTGCTGCTGTTGCTGAGGTATTCGTTTCTTTAAGCTTCTTCTGATGAAATTTCTCGGATAACCGTTCTTTCTAAACACTCGATATAGATGATTTTCTTCCTGTTTCCGAGATTCGGCTGTACTGCAGTGCGTTTCCACTCTTTTGAACAGGGTTTGAATGCAGCTCTTTTTGTGGTTCATCGGGTGGTTGCTGTGGTAGTTCAATATCTGGTCCGTATGCGTTTTCTTCCGATATATGCACGTTTCGATAGGTCCATCTCCATTCCTAGTGACCAGCACATCCAAAAATGGTAGCTTATTATCCTCTTCTAATTCAATCGTAAAGCTGATATCCTCGAAGGTGCTGTTGAGCAAGATTGTTGAGCAGTTTTCACTGCTATATCCAACCAATTCGGGCGTACAACGCTACAACAAGCTCGTCGTTGGGAAACCTTTGCCTGCCGACAAGCTTGCACACGCGAACAGCTCTACTTCCTTCATGAATGCCTGAGAAGGAACGTGCTGCCAGCAAGTACCAACCACAGACCGGCGCTAAACCATCCAGCCGCTTGGAACTTAGCACGACAATACGGGAGACGCATGGTGAAACTGATGATAACAGATGCCCATAACCGCCTGCGCAAATACGAGAACGTCATAACCGACAATAGAACCAATTGCCTCAGTACTCTTGAGCCACAACTGCAGACAGCGCTGGAATCGGCAATTGCACGTCGAGTCAAAAGCACAAAGAACCGACGCAAGGCTGCATTGAACACAAAGTTAGACAAACTGACCGAAAGAAATGACTGCGCTAGCAGTGAAGGATGGATCAAAAACCTTTCACGCCGCCACTTCACTGCAACTGAAGAGGATGTTTTGATTAAGGGGCTTAATTTCAACGTCCGAGATGCTTGCCCCAAAGACTACTTGGCTAGCTTAGAATACGCATTGAAATCAAATGGATTGACGGAAGAGTCCCAACAACAGATACGGCAGACCGTTGTCCCATTGCTTACTCGGAATAAACGCACCCAGACCCTAACCAAGGAGGAACAGGATGCACTCAGACGTCTACAGAAAGACGAGAACATTGTAATCCTACCAGCAGATAAAGGACGCATGACAGTGATAATGGACAAGCCAGAGTATCTTAACAAGGCCAAAGAACTGCTATCAGACACAACTACATATCGTAAGATCGATAAAGATCCAAGTTCAAAACTGGTTAACCAGATCAACGCAACGTTGAAGAAACTACAAACAAAGAACGAGCTTACCGCCACAGAGAGTTGGAGAATGAAAGCTGATGATACAAACATTGCACGGTTTTATGGACTACCAAAAGTACACAAAGATGGAGTCCCACTACGACCAATCATCTCGCTCCCGGGAACCCCATCATATAAACTAGCGAAGGATTTATGGAGGAGATTGAAACATTTGGTTGTCGGATCCGAATATAGCATCAACAATGCTGAACAATTCCTCAACAAACTGCGATGTGTCAGAATAGAAGACGACGAAATAATGCTTTCATTCGATGTCACGGCACTCTTCACTTCAATCGGTCCCGAGTTGGCCAAAGAAACCATGTTGGAATTGCTTGAGAATCAACTAAGCCCCACGACAACCATACGACCTGAACGCTTTTGGGAACTCCTGAACCTCTGCATGACCACTTATTTCCACTTTGATGGGCAAGTGTACCAGCAACTGAGAGGAACCCCAATGGGATCACCAATTTCGGGGCTCATTGCAGAAGCTGTAATGCAGAAATTGGAGCGCGTTACACTACCATCTATCAACCCAAAACTCTGGATACGATACGTGGACGACACGTTTGTCATCGTAAAACGGAACAGAGTACAGACCACACACGATTTGCTCAACAGCACCTTCGAGGATATCAACTTTACGATTGAATTAGTAGAGCATAATAAGCTACCATTTTTGGATGTGCTGGTCACTAGGAATGGAGATGGATCTAGCGAAACGTGCATATATCGGAAGAAAACGCATACGGACCAGATATTGAACTACCACAGCAACCACCCGATGAACCACAAAAAGAGCTGCATTCAAACCCTGTTCAAAAGAGTGGAAACGCACTGCAGTACAGCCGAATCTCGGAAACAGGAAGAAAATCATCTATATCGAGTGTTTAGAAAGAACGGTTATCCGAGAAATTTCATCAGAAGAAGCTTAAAGAAACGAATACCTCAGCAACAGCAGCAGGCATCTGATCAAGCAAACAAACGGATAGTGCTTCCCTACATCAAGAACGTCTCCGAACTAACAGGAGGATTGCTGCAGCCACATGGAATCTCTGTGGCGCACAAGCCAAGTGCCACCCTAAGAAAATTGATCTCACGACCCAAAGGAAAAGTCAATCAAGCCGACCAATGCAATGTCATCTACCAGATCAACTGCAGCGACTGCGATAAAAACTACGTCGGACAAACTGGAAGAAAACTTTGTACACGAATCACCGAACATAAGGCGGCCGTCAGAAGGCATGATCCATACTCATTGGTTTCTGCGCATGAAGATCAAGAAGGCCACCGTTTCGACCTGGAGAACGTAAAGGTCCTAGCCCATGGAAGCACAAAACACGCGAGGGAGTTTTTGGAAGCTTGGTACTCTACAACGCATTCGATCAATCGACACATCGAATTGGATGCGGTATACGCCACACTACTGAGGAACGACCGCCAACCCGAGCGATTGAATCCGGTGGAACGTGTGACTAGACCAACAGAACTGACGGCAAACTCGCTCGCAGGAGCAAGCAGACAAAGACCACGAAACACAAAGAGGCGAGGTCATAGGTCATCTGCCCATCAACCGAGCTGAAAGCGAATCGAAGTCCTAACAAATAAGATTGCTCGGCTCCACGGCCAACCACGGCGGTATAAAAACGCACGCACACCACGCTCAGCGCACTCTCACCGAGGCTCCTCTACGCTACTCTATGCTATTGCATGCCACTCCACTACGCACTGATGATGTCACCTCGATTGGTGACGAAACGTTTGCAACAAAATTGCCAAGCTCAGCGCACAGTTCAACAGCCATCTGAACAACCTGAGCTACCAGTTTTCACTGCTATAGCCGGATTAAAAGTTGTTTCCTTTTGTGACGATACGGTTGACTGTTCCCGAATAAAGACAAATAACTATGTGCAGAGTTATGTTTCACAACGGATCTCAGCCAAAATAGGATTGGATAGACTTCAAGCCAATGTGTGGATTCTGCATGTATGCAACTTATACCACGGCTGATCTATGTGATAAGTTTATATCAGTAGCACAAAGTCACTGTGTTAACCGATGGGGGTAGTTGCATTTGCTTCAAAGAACTGCTGAGGTGATGATTCTCATGTCCCTGCAAAGACTTCCTGAGGTTAGCAATAAATCGAAATACCTGTAGCTCGGGTCGTCTGTTCAGCATTTGTTCCATTCTCCGACATGAACAGTTTCATTGCAAACGTTTCATAATCAATCGAGATGACTTCTTCAGTGTGAAGTTAGCAAACTGAGTGGTTTGTCGAGTCTAACCGACGACCGATTGACATTTGAACTTGGCCACTTCTATTTGAAAATCGTGGTCATTGCTAGTTCGCAGTTGGGGCCCCGCCTCTTTTCGACTCATGTGCTAAATGACCCACGTAAATTCTTTTTTCGCAACTGCTAGTATACCGGATCTAAATGGATGTGCTGGTTTATTGAATACTCTGTCGAGAACCACGCTTCGATAAATACTTTACCCAGTCCATCTTTTGGAGGTCGGAATATCTCGTCTAACTTCAGCGTTGGTTCTGCGAGCTATCCAGGCTGCTTTTGTCTTTCAATTCCCCTGTTTACATTGTCTACATTCAACTCAATGGGTTGCAGACATTTTATCCGTGTAGGTTGTTCCCACTTTCTTTTCCTAATTGTACGTTCAGCACATCAGTTGCTGTTGTGACTCCTTGTTCCAACTGTTTGGCTCTCGCGCGTCTGATGAAAATCAAGGTTAAAACGACGAATCATTTTTAGATGCAGTCTTAACAACCATTTTCTCTGTATTCATGTTTACGACAACTAGTTTTAGTGAATCCGGCCCGTAGCTTTAGGGATCACAAGCCTGTTTTGTAATACGAGGTCAAAAGTTCAAGCCTGCTTAGGGACAGGACGACATTAGCAGTATCCTTAGCGCATCTGCGATCGGTGGTAGTTGCGCGGCAGCGAATCGTCGATACTGCATACCAGCTTACTGCTGATGTCTACTGCCAGAGCTCAGTAGAACAAATCCTTCGCCTTAAAATAGTTCGTTACGCGTGACTTGTTTGGGGACCGGCTGATTAAGACGCCCCCACGCTTTCACCTATTACTACTTTCCCTAGGACTGGAAACAGCTTCGCTTTAACTTGTTTGTTGAGTTGTGCGATTAGCAAGATCACCTTTCGGATCTTACCTCCTGACTGATTTTGACAGTTTCACCATGCAAGTTTAATATGTTTACCGATCTTAACGATGAAATGTTTTACTACATATTTACAGACGCCTTTACTTTAAGATGCATCCGGAGGTCTCGTCCGGTTTTCTTGCTTTCATTAACCTGTCCTTCATACACTGCAGGTTTTGTGCCGAAGAGCTTCACATCTTCCCGGAAAACAAGGCAGCGTGCTCCTGAGGATATGATTACCCAACACCCGGAAGATTTTATGGATGATGAGGTAGGGTTTTTATTGCTGTGCTCTCGGTAGCTATGCCACCTAAATTGTAATTTTCTCTGGATCTTCGTGACAGCAGTGATCTGTTTCATTGACACCTTAATTGTAATGCAATATTGCATAAACGCAAAAACTTTTGCTCCTTATGAATATGGCGTCCATTCCGCAGCATCTGATATATCTGTTTTTCGTTTTTACTTCCATCACTGTACTTGCAATTTGCCACGTCTAGTCACTGTGCTCTATTTTGACGCGGTGCACATGTTCGTTTGTTCCCTTGACTAAATAACGCTTAAGCAAGTGCACTGTTGCATCGTTTTTTGTTTTTTTCTCACTTTACATCCTCGCATTTGGTCAATTCTGTTTATCTGGCATTTGCCTGTGTTTATTCATGCTTACTTTCTTTTGCTTCACTCGTTTTCCGGCATATTGATCAGCCCGATGCACATAAAGTTTGGATTGTGTCGTCTGTGCTGCAATTCCGTTGGTAATCTACGCTTTTCACACCATAGTCGGGGTCTAACGCTTTTCACCAGTGAAATGGTGGCTCGGTTGCTTTTTTGACTGGTTTGGGTTAGATGTTATCCGGTTGGTTGCGTAATGTTTAGGCGTGGAACTGAGTTGCAGGGTTTGACTAAATCAAAAGAGTTGACACCGACAATAGACAAAGGGAAACAAATAATATCGACACGGTTACTGAGTTAGGTGCCACAAAAATCAGATGTTGGGTTATATAGTGATGACTAACCGCCAGCTGTATTTGCCGTCTCCCAACTATGAGGTATATGGCTTTGCGGGTAACAGAGGCCGTGGAGTGTGAGAATGCGACGAAGTGTTAACTACAGGCCATCCGTACCGTAGCTTAAGCCTGATCCGGTCCGGTTCTGTCTTGTCCGAGGTATGCACGGATTCCCTAGATTGTATGTGGTTGATGTTGCATACTTTATGCTTCTCCACCGCAGTTGGGTTAGTGACCTATGTTTGTTCCGCATTACACCGCATATGACTGAATCCATTCTGTTTTGTCTGCACAGTTCTGTCCTGTTAATCCCCCGTATATTCCCCGTTTATTTTAGTCGCCCTTTTTCGTGCATTTCCGTCTTATTCGCTTGGTATCTTCTAATCTACACTTGCAGAACTACCTCCTCGTGGTGCCAGCTGGGTGGTTCGGGTGTACCCCGTTCCAGCAAAGTGTTCGACGACAATGTTCCAATTCGGTGGGACATTGTATTCCAGCAGGTGTGCTGACTTCATAGGGAGTATTGGGCCCCCGTTTGGTAATCTACCAAACAAAGGCATGAACTGAACATTCAGTCAACGCCTCCCAATGGGCGCGATTCCCTAAATTCGCCCCGCTGCATTGCGGGTAGGTTATTTAGCCAAAGGCACGGGGTGGAGCCCCCTAAGTCAACTCCTTACTTCGGCTTGGGCAACCGGGTAGTATCACTCCCTCTCGCAAAACCATGGACTGTATTACAACTTGCTCATCAGCTGCTGTTTCTGCTACTCACTTTCACGCGACTTCATCACACGCCAATTGTTTGTTTGTTAACAATCCTCACTTTCCGTTACCCGATTCATGTGCTTAACAATCTGGCTGCGATTCCGGTTGCGCCGCAGGCCAAGAGGTTCAACCTATGGCTCTCCTTCGTCCCCGATCCTCGTTCCGTCCGGCGTGCTTCAATCTTCGGACACTCATGCAGATTGGACAGCAAGCCGGTCTAGAGCGTTTCCTAGTCCCTCGATGTTGATTTCTGCTGCCTTTCAGAAACCCGATTGCAAGATCCCAGCACTGTGCTTACACTGACATCCCCCACTGACCACGAAGCCAGATATCACCTGCGTCTTTCTGGAGGTCCAGAAGCAGCCTCAGTGGGTCTGGCTGGTGTAGGTATAGCACTGAGTGGCAAGGCCGAGGCGGCACTACTGGACTGGTTCCCGATTAACAGCCGACTATGTGCATTTCGGGTTCGGGGTTCATGTAGAATCGACAGGCACCGTGAATAGAGACGCAACTTGTTTGTGATCCCCGTCTACGCTCCAACTGACTGCAGTGGCGACTCGGTAACGGACGAATTCTAACGAGATCTACATCAGCTCTTGACTAATGCTATAAAGTCGGATGTCGTTATCCTTGCTGGGGATTTTAATGCGCGGGTTGGCTGCCTGTTACCACACGAACGCGACCTTGTGGTCATCACGCGCTCGATGAGAACCGCTCTGATAACGGAGAGAGACTTCTCACATTTTGCGAGGACAACCGTCTGTTTCTTTCGAGCACTAGCTTCAGGCGTACGAAGAAGCATTCCGCAACGTGGCGTCCCCCTTCGCCAACACAACCGTGGTCGCAAATTGATCACATTGCAATTAACTTCAGATGGCGCGGCAGCGTACTGGACTGAAGGTCCTTTTGGTCCACCATCCTTGACTCAGATCATGCTCTGGTCTACGCGAAAATCTGTATGTGTTTTGGAGGATCCCGAAACACGAAGCACCGCAAGATTGATGTAAACAGATTAACTGATTCCTCTGTCCAGGAGAGCTATCAGTCTTCACTGGCATATGCACTCATTTGCAATCCACCGCAAGAAGTGGAACAACACTGGGCTTGTATACGGAAGGCAATGACCATTTCCGGACAGTTGGCCTAGCTCGACGCCCCTTGAAGGCTTGGATCTCTGCTCGTTCTCTGGAGCTGTTCGAAAGCCGCAGATATCCCCGCGGAATCAGATTGCAACGAGCGGCGCCGTTCTGCCAACCGCCTGCTCAAGCAAAGTCTACGCAAGGATAGCGAGACATAGTGGTCTGAGCGTGCTTTAGAGATGGAGACCGCTGCCCTCTCTGGCAACACTCGCAGGCTTTTCCAACTTATTCGGTCCACTGGCCTCAGGAAGCCTGGTGTCAGGGAGATCATTTGTGAGTTGGATGAGTCTCCGATCACCAACCAACAAAGGCGTATGGACCGTTGGGCAGAGCACTTTCACTCGCAGCTCAACTGGCCTCCACCATCCATCAGTACAAGCAGTACACGTTGTTGTCCACCCTGGCTCGTCCCAATGACTCCAAGCAGCGAAGCGGAAGTCTGCCTCGAGTTTCGACGCTTGAAGCGTTTCAAGGCTGCCGGCTTAGACGGACTTCCTCCGCAGCTATTCAAGTACGGCAGTGTGCCGGTCATTAACCAGCTGACCGCTCTTTTGCAAACATTTGGCATGAAGAGAAAGTGCCTTCCTCTTGGGGTGAATCAGTCCTTATCCTGATTTTCATGAAAGGCGCTCGCACTTCATGTGCAAATCATCGCTTGATTAGTCTCATTTCGGTTGCCTCTAAGCTACTGGCATCCATTTTGCTTCGCAGGCTATCCCCAGTACGTGAATCATTCTACCGTGAAGAACAAGCTGGTTTCCGTCCTGGCCGCGGATGCGTGGATCAAATCTTCACGCTCCGCCAGCTCCTCGAACATCGCCACATACATCGCACGCCCACTATCATTGCATTTCTAGACATACGTGCCGCTTTTGACTCCATTGATCGACCTGCTTTATGGCGTTGCTTGCTAAAGAAGGGGTGCCAGGGCAATATACCGCCATCTTACGAGCACTTTACCTTCATACATCCGGCAGAGTGAGGGTCTATGGCAAGCTTTCCTCGCAATTCGCTGTCAATAGCGGTGTGCGACTGGGCTGCCCTATGTCCCCATTCCTCTTCAACTTCGCAACCGAAGACGTTCTGTCGAATGCTCTAGAAGGTTTGCAACATTTTGGTTTAGAGCTTCTACCGGGTGAACGCGCGACCGACTTAGATTATGCTGATGATATCGCCTTACTTGGTGACGATCCTCTGGGTATGCGACTCATTCTGGATCATTTGGGGGTTGAAGCATCTAGGTATGGCATGAGCTTCGCCCCATCGAAGTGTAAAATACTGCTCAAGGATTGGCTTTCACCTGCTCCCGTTCTCACTCTCGAAGGTGCACAACTTGAACAGGTAGATAGTTTCGTCTACCTTAGGAGCTGTGTTTCTGCTGACGGCATTATCAACAAAGAAGTTTCTCTTCGTATCGTTAAAGCACGGTCAGCATTTGTCAATCTGAGGCACTTGTGGCTTCGTCACGACGTCTCATTCTCACTAAAGGGCCGCGTTTACAGCGCATCTTTCGCTCGGAGTTGTTGTATGGGTGCGAGTCTTGACCGATTCGCTTGGGAGACATGAGTCGTCTTTCTGCCTTCGATAATGGTTGCTTAAGGAGGATCGCTCATGTTTAGCGGCAACATCGAATTAATAGTAATGACGTTCGATTTCGCATCTTGGGGAATGCGAGTATTCTCTTCAACAAACTGGTTTTATTGCGCCAGTTGAGATGGCTCGGTCACGTCCTACGCATGGCACCTGAGCGTCTACCGCGTCGCGCTCTATTCCCTCTTCAAGGACCTGGTTGGAGGCGACCGCGTGGTGGTCAGCCTTCCACTTGGCGGCAGCACATGAAATCGCTGACGTCGTGTCTAGCCGCTGTTGGATCCGTACGTCTTCCAGGATGGGGACCCAAAGATTAGGAGTGCCAATGGTTTAGGACTTTAGAAGACATGGCCCGCAACCGGAATCAGTGGAAGAATTGTGTACAGTGTTGTATTGATTCACATGTTTAACACCACAAACATTACAATGACAAAAAAGGGCAAAATCAGCGTGTGAAAAACAAACTAAAATGTTTTGTTCGACTTTTTATCAAAATGTTCCATTCTTCCTGCGGCATATTAGTTGAAGTGTGTTGCTCACCTTCAACTAGCATGCAACGATGATTATGACGCGATGAATCTTGCTTATCTGCTGATTTCCATGGTTTTATGCTGGCTCTGTGTCTAATTAATAGACGGTTGAGAATACATACATACATATACATACAGCTCCGACTTTGGACGCACTTTTTGATTTTCCTTGTTCTGTCATTCTGCCACCTTTACTGTCCAGTTCGCGTGTTTATTTTTTATATTATATGTTGGCTGCAC